TTATAATTTTATATGATATTATAAATTTATAATTATAGGATTTTTTGATATTATATATCTATTATGTAATACAAAGATTTAAAAAAAAAAAAATTCTTCTTGTGTACCCCGGTTAAAGGTCGCTTCCGTGCCACCTCATACTAATTGGTGGGCCACACCGTATGAAAAGATTTTATTTAATCTTTTTCAAACATGGAGAAATTGTCGTTATGTGCGAGCTAAACTGTACTGTACAAAAAAAAAGTTTATTGAGGGTTCGTTCTCATAGTATATAATTTAGTGTAATTTGAATTAAAAATAAAAAGTTGTTCAAACATTAAGAAATTTTTGAAGAACGCTTTCGAGATCTAATGAATCAGTGTTATCATTAACTTACCATATTTTTGGATTGAGTAGAATGAAGAGATGGGAAGGGGAGAGAAATGATATTCTTTATTATATATTTTTTATTTTTATTTAAATAAATAAATTAAAAATAAAATAAAATAATTTTGTTTTTCCTCCTCTCCTTTCTAATACTTTTGATAATTAAATAAAATTTTTTTTTCTTCTCCCCTTTATTCTCCTTAACACACAGACATACTATTAATTTCTCATCTCAACAAGTAAATCAAGATGTGCCGCCCACAATCTGCATTTTCCACAAAATTGAACTATAGTCTAATTACTAACACAAAGATAGAAAAAAAGAAAAGAAAAAAAGAAAAGAAAAGAAAAAAAGAAAAAACAAACAAACAAAGGATTAGATGCTATATGAGAAAGTGAAGGAAAATATAATTTTTCATAAATTTTTAAATGTCAATATAAATAGCATGTCTTTAATTAAATTGAGAAAAGATTAGTCTTTAAATTTATTAATATCATACTAACATGTATATTAATTTTACTACTAGAATGGTATGTATTGATATCAAAATTTTTTACGTATCTTTTGAATTTATGTTAGTAATAGAATATATTATCATATAAATTAAATATATAATTTTATAATGATATTTAATGAGTATAAGAAAAATTACTTTTTTTTTGTCCCAAATAATTGTAAGCTTTTTATTTTGAGTTTATTTTAAGTTAATTTTTGTTTTTTTTTTTAAATAGATAAATTTTTTCTACTTTAATTTTATCATTATTTATTTATTTTAATAAATTATTTTATCACAAAAAATCTCTCTTTATCTTTTAACTTTTTTTTCTAAAATAATATAATTACATACATAAATTGTGCTTAGCTTTCTAATTTGAAAAAAGAAGAAGAAGTCAAACAATAGTAAGGACAAATGGAGTAATACCTAAAAAGCTAAATTTTTAAAAATTAAAAACATGTTCAAAATGGTAAAATTCATAAAATGTTCTTAATTTTTTTTTTTTTAAAAGATAAGGATAATATTAAACAGAAACAATATATCAACATATTTTGTATTTATTTATATTGATTATTGTATTTGTCTAGAGTCTAAACTCAACTTAAAAGACTAAAAATTTATTTATATTTGCAATATATTCTTTTGAGTTTAATCCTAAGTAAATAATTATCTGATCCATTAATAAGTAGAAAAAAAAGTTTAACATCCAAGTAATGATGTATGTACATTGAAAAACACAGATATTTTTACTTATTTTGTATTTATGTTTTTCTAAGAGATAAACACGTTTTTCTAAGAGATAAACATGTTTTCTTGACATCTTCTTTTTACTACATAATATTTTGTTTTTTTGTTTTATTTTAAAAATAAACAAAAAATAAAAAAACCCATATTGATAACATTTCAACATACCAGCATTTGATAAGTAAAATGGAAATTGATATTCGAAATTTGATTGAAACACCTGGTATTTGAACAAAACAGAATCTTACCTTACATTGTTTCAGATTAAGCATAAAATTGATATGTACGAACTAGTATGAAATGAAATTGACAATATTATTAATCTTAAAGTATGTGTAAACTGAATTAAAAATACCCAAATAACTAAATTGAACTAAAAAAAAAATGATGAATTTCAAAGAGGTCATATGGAAAAAGTAACACTGCCTGGAAAGACAACCAACTAACCAAGGACCTTCCAATCAACTTAGCCATAAAAGGCCAAACCCTCAAATCTGCCTTCAAGTATAGGGTTGGACAGATTCACTTTCAAATTAAACGTAGGGACTAATTATCCCATCAACGAATTAGGTTAAACAATTAATTTTAAATTTAACTATTACCATTACATGACATCAACTTTCCACTACCTTTTTTACTTATGTGTCCTTCTGATTTGTGCTGGCATGAATAGAAAACTGATACCATATGATAGCAGCAGTTAAAATTAAAATAATTTATATAACTTGATTAATTAATGGAGTAGTTTCTCCCTATATATAATTTGAGTATGAATCTGTCCCTATCCCATTGATAGGAGGGCAGATTTTGGACCAACAAACAAAAAAGGCTGGGAGGATCTTCCAGATGTGGCAGACAACTGAGATAAAGGCTCTAGCTCGCATGCAAAGACATGAAAATTGTTCACGGAGTCATAAATGTCTGCATAATAAAGATGCAAGTTGATCCGTGACTCAAGATGAATTGCATTAGATAGTTGTTCCTTTTTCGCATACATTGCAAGACTGTTTCTAAAGAAGACAACAAAATTATAGTCCACAAAAGCAACTCGGCAAAACCTACTTTTTCCTCACTTTGAATGTTTTAATCTTTCATCTTATATTATAATATTTTTAGTCTCTCATCTTACTAAATTTATAAGTTTTAGCTTATTATTTTATACTATGATATTTTTAGCTCCTCATCTATTAAACTTGAAGAAAATAACCTCATTTTGTAACATTTTGTTAGTTCTGTTAGTTAACTGTTAATTTTATTAATTAGCTGTTAATTGACTGTTAGCTGACAAAAACATTCTTTTATTGACAAAAACATTCTTTTAACTAACAAAAACCTTCTTTTACCTAACAGAGTTAACAGAACTAATTTTATAATATTTTGTTCATTCTATTAACTGATTATTAGTTGAAAGTAAGTTTTTGTTAGTTGACAAAAACTTACTTTCAACTAATAAAGTTAATAGTCAATATAAAATGAAGGTTATTTTTTTCGATTCAAATATGTGAGAAACTAAAACCTACAAATCTAGTAAGGTAAGAAGTTAAAAGTGTCATAACATAAGATGATGGGTAACACCTTCAAATTTGGTAAGGTGAAAAGCTAAAAATAGGTTTTTGCCCAAGTAACTCACAACTAAAAGATTAACAGAAAGAAATCCAAATTTTAACTGCAAAATCTAATTGCCAGCAACCAACTTGCATAAAAAATAAATTAGAATAAAACAACTAAAAATCGAGAAAATTTAAGTAAAAATGCAGAGTATGTAGCAACACAAATTAACAAATCTCAATAGTGAAATCAAATGACCAATTGGGTTTGAGTAGGACTTACTGCCTAAAATAAACAAAATTTGTTACTGTTTTTGATAACTTCTTATGTTTTTCTTTTCATGGCAACAAAGCATCAAATTTAAATGGTAAATTAAGCTATAAATTAGTCTTACCATAACTGTTTTCCGATGACATCCTTGCTTACCGACATTTCATCAAGCAACTGTTCCTCAATTAATGGTGAGAAAAAAAAAAAAAAAAGAACTAACAGAGATCAGCATTAAGGGTGAAATTTGATTGGGAGAAATAATAAAGGGCACCTCATCCAATTTGCATCATTAACTTTTTTTTGGGTAATATTAAATATGGAGATCTTATTAGTATTATTTTCTACCATTATAAGAATATATTTGGTTTAAAAGAAATGGAGTGAAGCATAGGAGGGGAGAGGAATAATGAAATTTTTTTACCAATCAAATTACAATATAAGTTTATGTTCTAATTTAATTGATCAAAAACTTAATTTCTCATCTTCCTTCCCCTTCTCTCTATCCCCTTCGTTTCTCCTAAATCAAGCATACCTTCACTGAATAAAGTGTATGGCAAGATTTTGTTTTCAAGAAACAATGAAATATAAAAGATAAGATGCATTTTATTTGCTTTAATCTCTTATTTTAACCTCAATTTTGTTGCTATTTAGATGAATAGATGTGATTTTCGATAGATTTTACATAATTTTTAATTTTTGTGTAGAAAATGACTTAAATACATAATAATAGAAGTGTTAAGAATAAGTGTAAAACTTTTGAAAGTTGTGAGATTATATTGCAAGAGGAAAGTTGCAATTAGGGACTTAAATGAATAAATTCAAGGTTATAGGAACAAAGTTCTAATTATATAAGTTGGAGAACTAGATGTCCTATTTTACCATTAAAGAAATTGCAGAAAATTAAAAAACCCGAGACTGGCATTGCGTCGATATGAGCATTACTGTATCCACACCATAAGTTGAGACTTTGAGCTAAACGACGAAGAAGTATCGACACCAAAATTGTGGTATCCACAGCCTAAACAGTTTCAGCTTTAAAAGGTTTCTATTTTTGACATGGATATTACTTATTTTCTAATAGGAGTATTTTTTTTATTTGTATATTAAAGAATTAGTTGTTTAATAATATAAAGATTTGAATTTTTAACATTGATTTTAAATTAAGATTTTGAACTTCTTGGGTATTAATTTAACTAAATTTTTATTCGTTTAATAAGATTTTATTAAATTTTATAAATACTCATTTAAAATTAGAGTTAGAGAGATTTTTTTGAGAGCAAAAGAGATAGGGACAAGACCTTAACATTAAAAAAAAGATTAAGATTTGAAATTTTATATTATTAAATTAGTTTTACTTATTTTTAAATTTACTTTATAATGTCAAATATTCTTATTTTTGTTATTAGATATTTGATTTTTTTTCTTTCATATAAATTAATTTAGTTACTAAGGCAACAATACAGAATTCAATATAAAATTTTATTATTTTTATCATTTCAAAAACTGATTGTTTTATATAGAATATAGTATATAGTATTTTACTTAGAATAAAATTAACTCATCAATAATGATAAAAAAGGCAATTCTTCTATAAAAAAAAAACCAATTCAATTCAATTTGAACTTTCTAACAAAAAAAAATTAATAAACATTAAGAGATTAAGGCTTAGTCAATACTATATTCTAATTGTAGTTTTTTAAGTATTCCATTTCACTAACCCAAAATATTATGAAAATATTAATTAAAATTAGTAAAAGTAAATAAAAATTAATTAAAAATTAAAAATTATATTTATAGGTAAAATACTGTGTAAAAAAAAACTAAATTAACCAATTACAACAAAGCTTAAAAATGCTTTTATGGGATATTTTAAGTTGTTAATAACTTAAAATTTCAATTAACCAAAGAAAAAAGTTAGACTCTATCATCTCATTTGATGTAAAAAAAATTAAAAATATACTGCTTCAGTGTTTCTTTCCACCAAATAAAATAATCTTTTTTTCTAGCCGAAGGAAAATTAGAGAAAAACAGAGTATGAATCTCAATACAACAATAGAATTAGAACGTGCCCCCTAATATTGTTTCTTTTTGATGTAAAAACATCTCATTTTATTGTCTAAAATAATTTAGACAATGATCTACACGTTTGGGTTAAGTGACATTAATTTTGCTTTAGTAAGATCATTTCCATAAATTACAATTTTCAACCTCACAAATTCCTTTTTTCTTATTTTTCAGAGAGTGATGTTATTGAAATAATTTTTTTGTTTTTTTTTTTTTTTTATTTTTTCCTTTTTTTTTTTTATTTTTACTTTTTTTTTAATTAATTTATTTTTTTCGTTTTTTTAATTTTCTTTTAATTTAAAAATTTTTAAAAAAATAAGATAAAATGGTTGTGACAAATTGCCAATAGCATTTTTTCTTTATGCCTCCTCGATTGTAATGTGTTAAAAAAAAGAATAATTTAAACAGTAAAACAACGAATCCTAACTATTTTTTATTATGTAGACAGTCATTCATCCATCCAACACGGGCTGAAAAAAACAAACCTCCCATTGTGGAACTCGGGAAGCAGGAAACCGGGGAAGAACCAAAATAAGAAAATAATAAGATAAATTGTGTTCAGGAAAAGACTTCCACACTTACAAATCTGTATCTTCCAAGATACCATTTTCATTTTCTACAAAGCTTGCTTGTGCCAACATGTTTCTTCCTCGCAACTCATTCATGCCCACTTACTCATTCCCAAATTCAAAGTTCAATCTTCGTTCCCTCAGTTCCCAACTTCACAGACTCTCCATTCCCTACCCCGCACCACTCGGCGACAACCCTGCATTAGTCACAACGATTCATCAATCCTTATTCAAGAATCACCGTCAGTTGCTTTTGATTACAAGTAGCAGTCCCCCAAATTCCAAGGCATTTCCAAGTACATTTAATGGTGACACTAGAGTAAATGATGAACCGTTGAAGAATCAGATACCTGAATACCCAAAACGTAGAGATGGGGAGAAGAGTTTTTGGGGTGCAGTGGGTTTGATCATTGGCACTGCAGTAGGGCCTGGGATGCTGGGTTTACCTGCTGCAACAATAAAGTCAGGCCCACTTCCATCAACTACTTTCATTCTCCTTTCCTGGGTTTATGTTATTTCCACCATCATTCTTGTTGCCGAGCTTAGTTTTGCAGCTATGGAAGAAGATGGGGTTGCAGAGGTCAGCTTTACTGGCCTTGCAACGAAGGCACTGGGAAGCCGATTTGGTGCTTTTGTTGCGGTGATTTATGCTTCATTGAGTTTCTCTTTGTTAGTGGCTTGTGTTTCTGGCATTGGTTCCATTGTTTGTCAGTGGTTTCCCTGGATGAATTCAGTACTGGCTCATGCTTTATTTCCTCTTTTTGTTGGAACTCTGATGGGGTTCTTTCCCTTTAAGGCTATTGATGTTGCAAATCGGCTTCTATGCTTCCTCATGCTTTTCTCCATAACTGCATTAGTGCTCATTGGAGTATCTGTAGCCAGAATAAATATATTAGGTTCATTTGCTCATGCCTCATGGAGCGTTTCATCAATTTTACCTGCTTTACCTGTTACCGTGCTCACATTTGGTTTCCATGTGATCACTCCTTTTATTTGCAAGATTGCTGGAAATTCTGTATATGAAGCCCGAAAAGCAGTGTTAATTGGAGGAGTAGTTCCGTTGCTCATGGTTCTATCATGGAATTTGATTGTTTTGGGACTTGCTGGAACCAATTCTGCTGTCTCACCAGGGGACCCCATATCCCTCTTGCTTTCTGTGAATCCTTCTGCATTATCTGCTGTGCAAGGCTTTGCCTTCTCTGCTTTAGCAACTAGCTTGATAGGATATGCAGTAAGCTTCCCAAAACAACTTCTCGATACCTTGAATTTGATTTTAAGCAAACCTGATTCAGAAAAACTGAAATGCTCTCAGCTTCAGTCAGTCTCCAATAGCGATGGATCAGGAAGAGTTGGTTTTTTGATTTATTCCAGTCAGCATGATCTTTCAAAAGTTGGGAAAGTTTCATTTGGCTCAAAAATCACTTCAGCCTCAGATGAAAAACAAAGGTCAAGCATGGTCACGCTCAATTCCTTGGAAATGGTTGTAATGCCACTTGTGCTCATTGTCCCAGTCCTCATAGCTTCTTTCTTCCCTTCAGCTTTCTCAAGAGCTCTTGATTTTGCTGGGGTTTATGCAAACTGCTTCCTGTTTGGCATCCTTCCACCCTTAATGGCATACATATATCAATCAAAGAAGAAGATCAGGTATTTGCACATTTACAGCAACCTAGTATGTAAATCTTACTCAACAACACCTATTTCTCCAATTTGATCAATATCTTCAATTTGCAGATTATCCATCCTCCCGGGAGGAGATGGTTTACTTATGCTTCTGTTTGGCATAGCTGTCATTTTGGGGATCTGGCACTAGATGCAAGCATATCTGACTGCAGAATTTCATTTTTTTTCTCTCATTCCTATGATAGAATTGCACTTTTCCTATATGATGTGTTTGAATGTCAGAGTGCCAAAGTTATGAATTTGTTTCATTTGAGGGAAATCACCCAGAAGTAATCTGGAACGAAAGAGAATTTAACCATCTGTATTAAGGAGAGCACTTGCAAGTGGAACATTTCTTTGAGTAGAAACTAGAAAGTGCTTCCATTTATAAGAACCATGGTCCTGATATTTGTTTTCTTCTCTAATAGAAGTTACTCTCACAATGTAAATTTTTGCTGGAGTCTAAGTTTATTATGTACCAAAAGAAAATCAAGCCAAAAAGCTGCAAACTGAAATCTATATCATATCATCCAAAACTTCCTTTTGCAGGTGGCTGATGATGAATCTTTCTTTCTTTTTTCACCCTTGGAAAGGGCATGATGTAATATGTCTATTCAGGCTGGAACAATGCAGGCTCAAATAGAACAGGAAAATGAAAAACGGTTGCAATTTTTTTGGCTTCTGTGAAATATGTCCTCTCTATCTCATGAGAGCAACAGAAATGGTCAGCATTACATGTTTTTGCAATGTGTTCCCCCAAAAAAGTGTCGTTTTAGACAGAGCACTTGTAAAGCAGCTTCCCAACCATGTTTTCCTCAGTTCAGAACCTTTTTGTCTTGATCAATCCAAACCTCACACAAGTGCCTCAAAAATGCAGAAAAATGTTGACACAGTTTCCTAAAGGAACTCCAACAAAGTCTGTATGCAGTGATCATTGCACTCAACTAATTCTTTATCAGCGTAGCATCAAGAAGCAGATCCATAATGTGTCTAGATCATCATCGTTATCCATTTATTTTATAATCAATCAATTCTTAGACCAAACTATAGCCAGGAAGTTTGAGGGCACTTCTCTTATCCATCAATCTCCTCAACCTTTCAGAATCTCCATGCATTCCAGCACCAGCAAGGATGTTGGACATAAGCACATAGTCCCCTCCATATCCCCTCTCAATCTCCATTATCTTCCTTGTCACCCTTTCCCCCAGCTCGACATTACCATGAAAGCTACAAGCCCCCAAAAGTGTTCGCCAAACTACAACATTTGCCATCTCAGAAGGAATCTTCAAAGCCACCATTTCTGCTTCCTTTAATTTTCCGGCTCTCCCCAACATGTCAACTAAACACCCATAGTGTTTTATGTCTGGCAAGATTTGACACTCATCAACCATCTTTTCGAAGAACTTGAGCCCCTCTTGAACCAATCCTCCATGACTGCAAGCATTCAAAACACTCAAGAACGTGACACGATTTGGCTTCCAACCTTCTTTCTCCATCCTCTCAAAATTTTCAATAGCTTCCTTTCCCATCCCATGCATTGCAAACCCAGAAATTATAGATGTCCACGAAACCAAATTTCTTCTTTCAGTTGATATTTCTTCAAAAAACTTAGAAGCATTAAATATGCTCCCACATTTCGCATAAGTATCTATAAGTGAATTTGCAACTCTTATATCAAACACATGAAAACCTCGTTTCTCTCCATAACAATGGACCAATTGGCAAATCCTGACATCCCCAATGTCGTAAACAGCTGGCAAAATAGCCAGAATGGTTACTTCACTAGGTTCTATACCATTATTTTCTACCATTCTTCGAAATAGAGCTAGAGCTTCAGCAGGCCTATTCATCCTTGTATACCCATCAATAATACCAGTCCATGACACAACACTCCTATTAGGCACCTCCTCAAAGAGAGAACGTGCTTGTTCAAGCTCACCCCACTTAACCAAACCAGTAATAATCACATTCCACGTAACAGAGTTCCTCTCAGGCATTTCGTAGAACACTTTCTTAGCATCTTCCAAAACCCCACATTCAGCATACATATTCACCAAAGCAGTTTGCACATACACATGACACTCAAACCCCACCTTTACGGTCAAGCCATGAATCTGTATTCCCAAAACTGGATAGCATAAATTAGCGCTGGTTTTGATAAGGAAAGCATAAGTGAAGCTATCGAAAGAAGACCGCACAACAAATGGGTATTGACGATATAGTTTCTGGAGCTGTTTGTAAAGCAAGAATGCATCTTTGGGATTGTCACTGAAGGAATAGCATCTAATTAAGGCATTGATGAGTATCATGGAATGGTACATTAACCCAGAAACCAGCAACCGAGAGTGGACCTGTTGTGCGGTTTTGTAATTAGTTGGGTGCTTGTGCAAGAAAGCAAGCAACATCTTTTTCTTCTGCTGCTGTTCTTTTCGGTTTTCTTGATGGATTGGGAGATGGGTATCTGAGAAAGAAGGAAAGGAGGAGAGGTTGAAGGCAACGCAGTGGAAGAACCATTGAGAAATTTGGAAACAAGAGGCAAACTGAGGTTTTCTAAACCTCAACATGGGTCGGTTTCTCTGGAACTGGTGAGCTGGAGGGGGGTAATATTATTCGAGACCTGGTTCTCAATTTGTAAGTTAATTTCAATTTGAATCCTAATATTTTCTTTTTAATAAATAATCCCCTAACCTTCTAAAATTTTCAGATAAGTCACATTAAAAAAAAAAAAAAAAATTGGATGGGAAATTACAACTGATGGGGTTTGAAACCACCACCATAGAGATATGTTCAGTTGTTCACCCACAAGCAAAAGTGGCCTTTAGCCACTCGCCACTTGCTCCACATGTGGGGAATATCTCGTGAATTATACTAGTTTAAAAATATATTATTTTAATTTTTTATTAATAAAAATTTATAAAAACGAATTAGTTTTAAAAGTATTTTTTTTTTGTAATTTTATAAACTTCAAGGTTTATAAGCACTTTTCTCACACACAAATATATAGTTTAGTACTCTATAGCATGATCTTAAAAGATTAAGAAAAAAAACACCACAAAATTATATCGTTTTATTAAAGTATAATGGAAAAAAAACAAAACAAACTCATTATTGACTTTAAAAAAAATTATATTTTAGTATTTTTCAATAAAAATTTATTTAAAATGAAACAATTTTGAAGCATTTTTCCTTTTAAAAATTTGACTAATAAACACTTTTCTTCTTAATCTTTTAG